GTTACCAAGGGAAAACTTCAAAGGCAGACTGATACAGTCTCGCTCAATTGTGCAGAGAAAGATTTGCTCAGATCTAGTAAAGTTATTGGATGGGGAGACATAATTCAAAAACTAGGCCCTGCGATTCTAGTTTGAAGGGCAGAAAAGGAAAGAACAGAGGGATATTGAAAATGAAATGGGTGGAGAGAGCAAAGAGGCCAATGACGAACAGAACATGAAGAGGGGCCAGCAGGCGCCCTCTGAGAATGAACGCCTCATTCACTTCATGACAACGGAAAAAGAAAACATACCTAGTTTTGGAGATCAGTGGTTAATGGTTAAATAGATATTTGGAGGTCATTGATCGGCGAGAGCACGTAGAACTCGGGAAGGAAGAGGGGTTCTCTCATTCCACCATTGGTGAACAATTTCGCTGATGACAGAGCCCCATATATATGATCATCCTTCTCTGGAGTCCTTTTTCCCCGCCAGCAGGTTTCAACGAAATGAGGTGCTGTCGAAAGCTGGAGGCCACTCTCTCGTGTTGCGACGACAGTTGAGTTCATGGCCCAGGCAACATGACTCCATTGGCGGACAAAGATTCTGCTCCATGTAGCAGCAGATTGAATTTCAGGGTTTAATGAACAGGATCAGATCACGAGTAGACAGAGGCAGGTGGAGAAGAGGTGTCAAAAGAACAAACTCCCATTGACAGTGGCATTGGAGATAGGATTGTTGTACAGAGAGAAGATCATTAACAGGCATTGGAGATCAAGATTTTAGCTCTCTCTTCACAGCTTGTACCCCGGTTTCACCTATTGAGACCGAGCTAACCGTAACAAGCTTGGGCTGAAAAGACCAAAGGTAGGCTTACCGTGCGAAGTCGCCGTATCTTAGCTCCGAATGGCGTGACCGAACTAACTTAGTCTGGCGGCAAGAGCCTTACTTTGGACCGAGCTAACACTTGACCGTGGCCCATCTCCCAAGCTTCTTCATTACCGCGGCTAACACCTTTACCTCGGCTGACACCTTTACCTCGGCTGACCCTTTATCTCAGCTGATATCTTTATCTCGGCTAACATTGCGGTCAACCAAGTTACTTCGGCTCTTTTTTCCGGTTGACTACCTTGCTTGGTAGCTCGGTCATAGCGTTGACCGCCACTAGGAAGTAGCTAAGTCCCGTAGCTAGGTCCCGTGGCTAGGCCGCGTAGCTAGGTCCAATAACTTGGTCCCGTAGCTAGGTCTTGTAGCTCAGTCTCGTAGATAGGTCCTATAAATATCTTTGACTGCCACTCTAACTTAGCTCGGCCAAATTTGGCTACACAAATTACCCTCTCATTAACTTAGATATTCTAATAGGTTGTCATATTATTCGGTTTGAAAAACACATCTAATTTTTGGATTAGAGTAACATATTACTATTTCAAAATTTAATTTGGTAAAAATAATAATAAATTATTTGGGTTTCTTAAAATTTCTTTTTTGTGTTTATTTTTTTGTCCGAGAAAACAAAAGAAAAGGAATTTTGAGCCATGTGCTCCATGTTTGTTGATTTTGTTTAATTCAAAAATAAAAATTCTTGAGTCGCTTGGTTAAGTTAAATCGTTATGTGAGACGTAGTGTATTGGAGGTTTATGTTTTTTTTTCTTTTACTTTCCACATTTTCTTAACTGAGCATTCATGAATTTATCATTGTTTTTGGCCTAAAATCATAAATTCTATTTCAGAGGAACTTAGATCAATTGGAGGCTTTGTCGAAAAAGCTAAGGGGGAGGGAAGTTATATATATATATATATATTATTTCAGGTAAGTCTAACTTGAGAATCTCATTATCCATAACATTTTTCTTATTCCACCAAATAGAATAAAATAAATTAAAAAATATTTTACAACAATTATACAACAATATATATCATGATAGTGTTACACACAAATATATAAGAAGTGTTTCATGAAAACTATCAAACACATCTCACGTTCCTGTCCAAATGTCAAGTATCTGACATGGATATAACCACTCTCAGAGCTAGCAAGTAGACTACTAAGTTCACTTCGCCCTCGCGAATCATACCCCGGTGGCAAAACACTACCAACCCGGTCTCCCAAGAAATGGAACCACTCCGCATCACTACCCCGCTGAGTCTTCGGAAGACCTACAACGAAGTCCATAGTGACATGCTCCCACTTCCACTCGGCAATAGGCAAGGGTTGCAACAAACCCGCTGGCCTCTGATGCTCGGCCTTCACTTGCTGGCAAGTAAGGCACTTTGATACGAAAACAGTAAAATTTACACAAAAGCCCCAAACTTTCACCAAATTACCAAACCAAGCTCAACATCTCAAAATACCAAAATTTAAAGACAAAATCCATAGAGAGGAGTAGGATATCCCTACCTTGAAGTTTTAGCCAAAAAGGAGATGAAGACTCGAAGATCAACTTGCTCCAAATCCAAACTTTTTCAGATTAAATCGAAGCTCTCAACACCCTCTATCTTTTTAACAAAGGCCCTAGGCTAGATTCACACTCTAGGGAGATTAAATCTTAGAGAGAGTATAAGTGTAGGGAGAGAGAGACTCGGATTAAGGGTTTGATCAAAGAAAGGAAGTGAAAAAGTGATGTTTAAAACGCTACTGTCCGCTGATATAAAACACTCTCTCTCGAGCGAAGACTTGGTCGCTCGAGCGACCAGACACAGAAAACTCTCGCTCGAGCCAAGAATTTCTCGATCGAGCGAATAAAAACCCAGACCGCTCGAGCGAAGGAAGCTCGCTCGAGCCAGGAAATACAACTCTCAGGTCCAGAACCAGACGCAACACTACACTCGCTCGAGCGACAAACTCCTCGCTCGAGCGAAGGACCAAAAATCTGGGCAGCAACACTAGGCTCCCAAACACAACCAACCTGTAACAAACCTGCCTAACACATCCTATAACTCAAATATGAAGAAAAAGGAATGTAAACACGATAATAACCAACTACCAACATCCACGGACACATGTCCGGATCACTGTACAACAAAGGTAAACCCGGGATCGCTATACTTTCCATTCGAAAATTTTCAAATATTCTTGTGTGATTCCCCTCTTGTAATTCTACCATCCACTTCCCCCCTGTTAAACTAGATGTCCTACATGGTTCTTTTACCAAATAATTTGTCAGATATGTCACTGCAACTGTTGCCGCCGTAGCTAAGAGCATGTTATGTTGTTGAGTTTCCAATGTGCTACCTTCATCTTCTGTATCTTCATCATGGTAATCATCATTCCATTCGCTATCACTGTTATTCATCTCCAAAATACCTATCCATTAAAAGGCTTAGTTACTATTATATTCATTTACAGTCACAGATTTCAAAGTTATTAAAGAATAGAGCTACTAATCCTTTTTAATAAAATAAAATAAAATAAAGTCAAGATGGTTGGAATATGGGAGATTATTTATTCCATAGCTCTTAATGCACTATAGAATAATTTTCTGTCATCCATTATTTATCTATGAATGGATTTAATCAACTTTAAAATTTAGAAAAAAAAAAAAAAGCTTAAATCCACCTGAGGGCTTAGGTTTAATATTTCTTATTTAGTATATGTAGGACAAATTTACATTTATTTTAAAATTAATCAGAATGAAATTCCAAACACTTTTTTGAGTAAAACAAATAAATGAAAAAATAGATGTAAAATTAGCAATATCTACTAGACTATTATTGGCCTTACCTTTTCATCTGGGCTAATGCAAATTGAACTTCATTTATCGGAACTTCATTTTTCGGCTTCTTCACTTCATTTATCAGAAGTTACAAACAGCAAGTAATGCAAATTGAACTTTGTAAATTCAAACATAATTATCATTTATCATTTGAACTTTGACAGAATTAGCAGAATTAGCATTTGAACTTTGACAGAATTATCATTTAATGAGTTTTAGAGTTTTAGAATTATTATTAAAATTCAAACTAATTGAACTTTGTAAACTGTTACAAACAGCAAGCAAATTGAACTTTGTAAAATGTTACCTTAATGAACACAACAGTTGACTATTAAAGTTGAACACACCACCTGGAAAATAAAGTTGAACACACCACAAAGAA